GTCAAATGGAGTCTGTCAGCATCCCCTATTGAAGGTAATCTTAACTAGGGAGGGGTGGTGGTGGTGGTATGAATTGTCCCAAGTTCCAAAGTGCTTCCATTAGGCAGAGAGAGGACTGATGGACACCTATGAGTTGGGTAGCTTGGGATACATTGTATGCAAGATCATTTGCCTTGAGGAAATACATCATGCTATTTTGAAAGAGGCAGATAGATTCGACCACATGGCAGGAGCCCAAACCAAACCAAACTCACTGCTGTGGAGTCATCGCTGCCTCCTGGCAACCCCTGTGGGTTTCTGAGGCTGTAACTGTTTATGAGAGTAGAAAGCCCAATGTGGCATGAAGATATGAAAAATTAAATAAAATTAAATAAAAGTTGAATTGTAGTATTAGTGACCTACTATCTACGTGAGATGCATGAAGAAGTCCTTGGGTGGAGCAAGTGGATTTTGCTCCGCTACCAACCAAATAGTTGGGCAGTTCAAATCCACGCAGCAGTGCTGTGAAAGAATGGCCCAGTGACCCAGAAGCCCTATGGACGGTTCTACCCTGTGACAAATGACACTGCTGTGAGTTGTAATAAACTCACTGGCAAAAAGTTTGCTTTTGGGGGGGACCATGTCTAAAACTTGTTCAATCTTATATAAGCAACCTGAGATTTTTGGGACTATTTTAGTTTGTGCTATCATAACCAGAAACAAACAGACAAACAAAGCTACAAGTGAGTAGCTTTAAAAAAACAGAATTTAGTGTCTCACGGTTTTAGAAGCTGAAAGTTCAAAGCTGGGCATTGGTTCCAGGGAGAGTCCTTTCTTGTTGGTAACCTCTGGGCATTCCTTCTCTGGTTGAAGATCTTTCTTCACTTGGCATTTGCCATCCACCTTGTGTATGTGTGTCTATTCTGCTCTTTTTATAAGAAATCACTCAGAAGAGATTAGTTTTAGGACCCACCCTAGTGTTGTATGACCTCATTCACAAAATAAACCCTCTGTTTCTGAACAGGTCATATTTGCAGGTATGGGGGTTAGGACTTCAACATACCCTCCTGGGGAACACAATTCCAACCATAGAGGATCTCAGTCTCATTTTTGTAAAAGTAAGGCTTTGAAAGATATGCCTGCAAGTCATGAAATTCATGATTCCATGTCTTTAATTGCTAATGTAAAAAGATGTTACAGCGTTCCAGAGCTCACATAGCCAGCAAGTCAGGCAATACACTCTAGGAGTCAATAGGTCCAAACCAGGTATCACAAACCATGGAGGAGAGTATGGTGCAGTGGCTACAGAAAGAATATTGAAATCCTACAGCCCCCAATCCAAACCTCAGCTAGTTCACATTCTACAAAATGTATCAATTTGGGCAGGTTCCTGATTTTTCTCCGGCTTGGTTTTCTCCTGGAAAACAGTTAAAATTACCTATCCCTCACAGGGGTGTCGGTGAGGGATTGAAACACAGTCAACAACAAATAACTGGTTCTTTTCCTCATCATCTAAGGAACGTGCAGTAGAACCAGCTTGGTTAAATGTGACCTAGGCCTCCAAGGGAGCCCAGTGTTCACGAGAACGGCTAACTCTTCTGTAAGTAGCAGAGATGCAGAACGCCTGCGTTCCCTCGGGCTGTCCGCCTCTCCTTCCTGCTTCCCGCTGAATTTCTGCTTCCTTCGCCTCTCTTCTCTGCAGGCTGAACTTGGTGTTTCTCTTGTCCTCTTGGGATGCGACCATCATGGTTTTCCCAAAACGTCAGCCTCAGCTCCCAAGTCTACATGGGCCTGTAACTTGGATCCTCACAGTAATTTGACTAAAATACCATGGAAAGACAAGCTCGCCCTCATGGGAGACAAAATATGATTGGCCTGGTTTTGATGTAGTGTCTCCTCTTGGTCCAAACAGGTGAGGGGTCAATTAGTAATCAGAGCTACTACTTTTAGTGGAATATGTAGTCTCTCTCTCTCTCCTCCTGGGGAGGGGATCACTGGTATCTGGATCTAAGTTATTGTGCACGTCACTGTGACCAGAACACACAGGGGCTTCCTGTGTCTTTACAGACACACAGCATGACTAGCTCTTCTTCATGATGATGCGGTAGGTCGGTAAGGGTCCAGAGAGGGAGAGCTAGAGGAAAACACACTAACAACGACCCCATGGGTCTGAGAGAAAGGAATACTTAAAGCACACAAAAAATGGAATGCACACAAGAACCCAAAATTAGGGACTTTTCAGACTCACATTTATGGTTTATTCTTCATAACGGGAATGATCTAACTTACAGCATGAAACCTGCGTCTTTTAAACCTATGCTTTATAACAATCTGTGAAAAGTTACAAACTGTTTTTAATAATCAGAGTTTTATATCTTTATTGAAAAGCTGCATTAAGAGAGCTGAAATAAAATCTTTGGCTGAGATAGTGCCTAAGAGGCAGAGGGACAGGTTTGAAAGGGAAGATGGAGCCTGAAGTGATGGTGGGACTTCCCACAGGAGATGTTCCTCGGGGAGTTGGAACACGTGCCTGGGAATAAGCACAGCACAGCACTGTCGCCCAGCTCTATGGAGTTCAGTCGAGGTTAGCTGCAGATGGGTGGAGGACCTGAATGAAGGCCACGCAGAGCAGGAGAGGAGGGAAGAGAACCTCCCCTGGGAAGGTGTGGGCAGAGGGCAGATGTCTTTGGCAGACAGAGAAGGAAAGGCTGTAAAGGCGGAGGGCAATCCTTTCTCAGTGAGGTAAAGGAAGAGAGAGCATTTCGGGGAAGAAGGAGTGGTAAAAGGTGTCTCATGCCTAAAAACATCAAGAAAGAAGGCCAGCAGAGGTTCCAACAGCTTTGGGCAAGGGACTGTGGGCCGCATCACCGAGGACAGTTTTCTTGGTGAGGTGGAACCTAAAGCTGTGTGGGAGGAAAACCACGGGGGAAAATGAATGCAGGAAACATAGACAGCTTTACAAAGAAGCTTGACCTTGAAGCCAGGAAGAGAAATAGATGAGTAGATAGAGGGACAAGTGGGGATTGAGGGCTCCCCCCACCCCCCGCCCTTTTCCCTCACGACAAGGGAGGGAGAGTTGTTCCTGTGAGTAGGGTGCAAAGAGTCAGTAAAAAGGGAAGCTCGAGGAGAGGCAGGAAAGGGAACGAGGAGAGCAGGAGGGATTTGCTGCGAAGGACAGGGGCACAGCCCTCTCTCTGAGCTCGGAGGCCGGGGGCAGAGAGAGAAGTGTGCAGGTGGTCAGGGAGGAGATGGAGGGAGTTCTCAATTGATGGCCTTAATTTTCTCTGCGAAGTAGGAGGCGAGGTCATCCGCTGGGTGGGACGAGGGAGGTGGTGGAGCACGAGGTGGTGTCGGAAGAGAGAGCGTTTGGTGCTAAAAGCTGCTGAGAGCAATGGGAGCAGAAGCCAGGGAGGAGCACAGAGAGCATGCTGGGGAGTACTGAGTGCCCAGCTGAGCAGGTAGAACATAATGTTGGGGTGCTCCCAAGTCTCATCATGGTGGCATCGTCTCATGAAGCTTTTGAGGTGGAGAAGTGAGAAGTGGAATCGTTCCATTGAACCAGGGCTGCTTTGGGGGAGCTCACGGCCCAAGAAGTTAAGAGGGTGGAGACAATTGAGGGTCTTGAGAAGGGTGGGTTGGTGTGATGGGCTGCGGGATCCACGGCGGGCAGAGAGTGACACAAAGCCAGCCTTTGTTGGCTGGACCCAGGACAAATGTAAGGTCCAGAACAGTACGCCCCAGAGGGTCGGGGGATCGGTGCTCGGAGGAACCAGGAACGTAAAGAGTGGCGGGTTGCAAGGAGCCTGTTGTTGTCTAATGGGACGTTAAGAGATTCAGATTCTAGAGGGAGGCTCGTTCTGCGGGTTTCGAAGTACATTATACGGAAGTTAGTCTTCCTGCTTTGTTGACATCCTTCCCTGACTAGTTTCTCACCAACCTGTTTCTCTCCAGACTCCGACTTCCCATTTCATTCTGTGGGACAACTGTCCAAACTGAAACCCCCCCCTCCACCATAGGAGTCAGGAATCCTATCGCCCTGGCCACCACATGAGCCACCAGAACAGTGGCTTATCCTGACCAGAAGGACTCGCTTACAGAGCCAGCTGCCCTCACGTTGACTCCGATACGGTCCCCACGTGTGTCAGGTGGGCTTGTGCTCTGTAGGGAGAAGGGGCCTTTCTTACCGGGTGCTTCTGGGTGGATTCTACCCACCAACCTCTGGGTTAACTGCTTCCCCCAAATCCAAACTCGATGCTGACTCATAGCTACCCTACAGGACAGGGTGGAACTGCTCCTGCGGCTTTCTGAGACCGTAACCCTTGATGGGTTACGGGAGTAGACAGCTGTCTTCCTTCCATGGGCAGCTGATCATGCCAAACTGCCGACCCTGTGCCGATTAGTCCTGAGAGCCTACAACTTCCTGTGGCATCGATGACGCCTCAGCAGACAGTTGCCCACACACGCCCAGCTCCTCTGTGGTTCCTTTGCTTCCTCGCCCTGTTTCTGGGGGAGTACGGGCAGGGAGGGGCAGAGACTGTCCTCCTGTGTGCCATTGACCTTCCTGCGGTTTATTGAGGACTCCACAGCCAGACTCCCAGGAAGAGATTCAACTGGGGGCAGCCAGAGATATTTTGCTCCATAAAGTTCCCGAAGAACCATTCTATTTTAGCAGTCCCAGAGCTGGATTCTGAGAGTCACAGTTTGCAGAAACCCACAATGCCATGAGAGCGACTATTCCAGGAAAGATCAGGGGGGGGGTTTTTTTAAAAAACTGAGCTTTGTTATCTGACTGAAGTCAACAGAGACAGACCAAATCAACAAGCATGACATGAAGGGCACATTTGCAATTAAAAGAAGAATAGGGAATTATAAAGATGGATGGGCCCCGTGACACGCACGCCCGGGCCTGCGTGGCCTTGGCCTCGGATGCCAGAAATTAATGCTTTACTCTTTAGCACCCGTCACCTTTGGCTCTGCACAGAAGGCAAATGCATTAAAAGAACAACAATTAGAACACTTACTTAGCTTGGAAGGCATTGTTGGTTCCCCTGTGGTCGAGGTCATGACACAGGCAGCCCACAATCACCGCTAAAATTTCCACCTCGGTCAGAATCTCTTGAAACCCAGCCGTCTGGGAAGAAGGCAAAATGATAACAGTCACTGCTGGGGGCAGGGGGTTGGGGGTGGGGAGGTAATGCTGGTCAGGGAGCAACAATCAGGCCTGTTTCCACATCCGTGTTGCTTAAGGAAGTGATTAACTGCCACCTCCTTCCAGGACAGTAGGTTGGGTGGTCAGTGGCACAACCTAAGGTCCTCACAGTGATGAATTAGCCCGCTGTCACCGGGGCCCACCCCGCCACACCAGGACAAAGGTCAGGCTAGTTTGTTGGCTTTTTGGACAGGCGTTTGCTCTCGCTGCATACAGTGACAGTTTGGCAAAGGACCAGAGCAGATTGTGGGTAGTGACTCTACATTTCATGAGCCTCCTGCTTATGGACCCAGAGGACTGTGGCTTTCAAACGGAATTCTGTAGCCCAAATGCCACTCCGATTTAATATAAGATCTATACATATAGATAAAAGTCTCCAAAGAAACAATGTAGAGATACTCAAGGTGGTAGGCCATGACATTCTGAAGTTCTCTTTTGCATGCTTTATTCAATAGTCTCTGGGGGTGGGCGTGGGCAGGTGAACCTTTCACAGTTAATAAGGCAGTACAGGTCTGGAAAACTACAATTTGGAAAAATATTAGGCGCCTTAGGTTGAGGATCCGGTGGTGTGTCCATCACAATGGAATTCTTTTTTCATTACGCTGGGCAATGCATAGGTGGGGTGAGCTGTCTCCTGGAAGCGGTTTGGATATAACCGTGTCCCGTGGAGCAGACACGGGCTTGGATTCCTGCCGTGCTTTCATTAGTTCCGAAGAAGAAGCAGACCTCTGGGAAAGCCAGCCTGGGTATTTTCTCGAACCACAGCTTTATGTCTTTCTCCTCCCTCTACTTTATAAGCTTCTCATTTCATTACTTATTAAAATCTTTATCAGAGGACCAGAAGGAGGGGTGGTGGGACTCAAATCGTTTCACTTTTCACGCGTGTTTTCTGCCCCCCAGAGCCAGAATCTTGAGGTAGTGCCTGTAAGACACTTTCCTTAGAGCAGTAAGTGCTTGGCTTTGACACTGTGGTTTGCTGTTAGCTGCTGCCGAGGGGATTCCGACCCGTGGGAACCCTATATACAACAGAACAAAACTGTCCAGTCCTGCACCATCCTCACAGTTTTCACTTTTGAGTCCAGGGGTACAGCCACTGTATCAATCTGTCCCGTGGAAGGTCTTCATCTTCTTTGCTGACCCTCTGCTTTACCAAACATGATATCTTTTTCCAGGGACTGGTCTGTCTTGACAATGTCCAGAGTATGTGAGGTGGAGCCTGGCTGCCTTTACTTCTAAAGAGCATTCCGGCTGTACTTTTTCCAAGCAGATTTGTGTGTTTTTCTGGCCTTCCACAGTACTTTCAATATTCTTTGTCGGGTGGCCAGTCCTTTGCCAAATTCTAGTTTTCAGATATTGATGCATAGTTGAAATGCATCAGTTCTTTATTCTTTCTTATTCATTTTTCAATTTTACAAGCATATGAGGCAATTGAAAATACCTGGCTCTCCTTAGTCCTCAAAGTTACATTTTTTTACAGTTTTTTCTGCACATCATTTACATATAAGAGGATCAACTAGTTCAATTGTTCAAACATCCAGAGGGAATTATTCTTCAACACTTTAATGAGGCCTTGTGCAGCATATTTGGCCAATACAACATGTTGTTTGATTTCTTAATTGTTGCTTCTACGGTTCCCACTTGTGGATTCCAGTCAAATGAAGTACTTGACAACTTCAGTCATTTCTTCCTTTATTAGGAGGTTACTGATTGTGTTTGCACTAGCCAGGCTTTTATTGTAGAATAATCCATAATGTCCTATGTTGACAATTTTATTTCTTCATGGGCTTGGGATCACGCTTACATTTAGAAATACATATAACTTCATTTGCACAAAACATAAAACATTATCTGGGGGTATGCAGTAATTCTTGCCAAAGCTTGTGCTCCTTTGTTCTACGTTTCAGAGTTGACTGTTCGTTCTCCTAAGTTATTTTTATTTTACTTCACTTGGAGGAAGGAAATGAAAATGAATCCAGAGTAGTAGGAAGAAATGAAATATGTGGTGGATTGCCTCCAAGAAAAATATCCAGCTTTGTCATGAGACCAGAATTGGATGGTGCCTACCTATCATTATTGAAATTTTGAACAAATAGTCTACAGAGAAATACTGATCAAAAGGGAGGAAAATAGAGGACAGAATTTCAAATTCTCATAGATAATAGACTGTCTGGAGCCCTGAACACTGGATAAACCCATTACACTATTACCCTGAGACAATCCCCCCAAAACTATAGCACCTGATAACTTTTTAAAGCCAATTAATAGTTTAGCTTAAGGTAAAACATATCTGCTTTGAGCATTATACCACTTTAAGAACTATATATATATATGGGATCAAATTGAGGACAGCAACTTGAACTATTAGAATCTGACAGGGTATATGATAGTTAGGTTTTGTGTCAACTTGGCTGGGCCAGGAGTCTCAGTTGCTTGGCATTTAAAACCTCATAATCCCTTATGATGTGACCTAACCCAATATAGTCAATGCAGTCAGCTCTATAATGGGATCTACTATGAGCACCCTATCAGTTGTAAGATTAGGGTGAGAGGCAGCACCCTTCCTCAGAGCACAGCCTTGAGGCAGTTAATTGAAAGAAGGCTCTGTGTGGACTGATTCCAATATAAATGGTCACTGTGGAAAAGCTTGCTGATTTTTGCTGTCTCTGGATCCTGTATCTGGCTTTGTTGACTGCAAACCAACAGGTTGCCATATTGCCTGCCAATCCTAGACAGTCATCAGTAGCCTATCATCTGACCTGTCGACCTTGGATTCATTTGCCTCCGCAAGCCGCAAGCCTGATCTGCTGACCTTGGTTTCATTCACTTCTGAAGCCAGCTTGTCCTCTTCCTGCAAATGTTGGGCTCATGAGCCTTAGCAGCTGTGTGAGTCAGTAGAAGCCTCCAGGCTAGGATCTGATGCAGGGAATCTCTCCAAACTTGGACGTGACAGCTTCTACAGCTGTGTGAATCATTTCTTGATATAAATTTGTGTGTGTATATGTGTACACACACACACACACACACACATATTGAAGCTTCATTGGTTTGGGGTCTTTAGAGGACCCAGCCTAAGACAGAGGCATTGAGTATGTGTTAATAATGGAGGAACAACTCAGCAAAGGAGGTTGAGAATGATTGTGCAATTTGCAGTATGTAATCAACATCCCAGAATTGTACATGGAGAAATTCCCAAATTGGTGCATGTTGTGCTGGGTATAGTCTCAACAATAACAAAATTAAAAAAAAAATTTTCCCCATAGTTGCTCTATTTATTTATTTTAAATCATTTTATTGGGGGTGCGTACAACTCTTATCACAATCCACACATACATCCATTGGGTCAAGCACGTGTACATTTTTTGCCCTCATCGTTCTCAAAACACAAACTAAAAAAAATTTAAAAGCACTTGGAACAGTTTTTATAAAATTCAAATCGAACCTAGAACTCAAATTATTAGTTCCTTAATCTTCCTTTTTTTCTGATCCCCTGGGAAGACAGGCACTTTTTGTGTTATTTTTTTAAACCTAATGTGATAAGTATTTACCAAAGTAATTCTCTATGGTATGTACATATCATTAGCACTTGGTTGTTCAGTAAATACTTGTATCATTCTTCCCATGTATCAGGCACTCTCCTAAGAGCTCTGTGGCTATCTAACGTATTTAATTCTCATAATAGCACTGTGAGGCAGCCACTTTGGTTCCCAGTTATAGCTGAGGAACATGTATGTGTGGATTGTGATAAGAGTTGTACGCACCCCCAATAAAATGATTTAAAATAAATAAATAGAGCAACTATGGGGAAAATTTTTTTAAAAATTTTGTTATTGTTGAGACTATACCCAGCACAACATGCACCAATTTGGGAATTTCTCCATGTACAATTCTGGGATGTTATAGCAACGTGCATAGCCCTCACAAGTCTTAGGTGGCAGAGACTGGCTGACTTCCAGCACACTTGTGCCAGAATCTGCCTTTAAACACTGATAGCTGGTGATGGGTCAGGATTTATGTTCACCTACACACACCCTTTCTTCTCTCATACTGCCCTTATACTCACACTCATTGTTTTCCTTTTTGTATTTCTACTTTGCCTCTATTATTCACTGCTTACCCAACTAGCAGTTCCATGACTGTGCTTCCTTTCTTATGTTAGCATTTCCATTTCCTGAGTTAAGAGTCCTTTGAACACCTAAGTCCTCTCATGCCCTGTCCAACTCTGTAGAATGCCCCTGCGAAACCAGGTGAAATGGGATCAAGCTTTTAGATCCCTTAGACTCCATCACACCTTCAGGGCTCTCTTGTAAAGTCCTGATGCTGCTCTTTGGTCTGGATTCAACGCCTCCCCACTTCCTGCCCCCAAATCACAGGTGCTTCTCTTTCCTCTCTGGGCTTGGTCTCCTATCCCTGCAGTCCTCTGCTCTTTCCTTGTTGATGCCTTCATTTTGAGGAACACCTCTGTCTGGGGCTTCATGAAAAAAATGTGTTAATTTTTTAAAACTAGGGTAGAAATTTTTGAGGCTTTGAGTGGCTGAACATGTCTTTATTCTCACAGTTATATATGTTGTGCATTAGCATGTTCCCCCTATCCATAGCACGATGCAATTTCACCAAGGTATCCTTTGATTTAGAACTCCCTCGACCCCCACCCCATTCACGGTGCTTGGTGAGCCTTTTCATTCTGGAGGTTGATCTTCAGGACAATTTTCGTACAATCAGTATTTTAGTTTCTGCTTCACTATTTTTTCTTATCTACTTGATTGGGACTTTAATTGGTTGAATCTTGGACTTGCCATCTTGATTTCCTCATTTCTTTTCTTTTCTTTCCCATTATCTACCTTGATATTTTCCCTCTTACTTTCCAAGAGGAAGATTATTCAGTGTGCAAGTATCTTCTTATTGTCGGCTCCTTTTCCAACAGC